TATGTGTACAGCATACTTCTCACAGGCCATCATGCAGTCTTTCAAAGACCAATAAAGTCTAAATTAAATTGTTTACGGTTTCTTTTTAATTAGAAGCATTATTTATTTGATGTTTTGTGTCATTTTTCTTTCAGGCTGTGAAAGTCCTGAAGAGCAGCAGGAGTCTGACCATCACAGTTCTGACGGGAGCTGTAAGTATACTCTGTGTTGTGTCCCATCATAATTTATAGTTTATGGTCACTTCACATAACTCCTGCACTAACTTAAATGTGCTCAGACGCAGTAAATACCATCAGAAATACATGCGAGGTTTTAGTGAAACAAGCATCCCATTAATATGAGGATCCTTCATTTAAAAAACAAGATGTAAGATGGAGTCAAATGAGCTTTCCTTACTAAGTTATGTTCTCACTGAAGCAATGCCAGAAGAACTGCTAGAAAAATTAATTAAATATATTATAATAAGAATACACAATCTAAATAACGGTAACACAAAAAGTGTGGTCAAAACTGCTTTTACTAGTTTAAAAACGTGTTTCAGTTGAAATAATCAGTTTAGGGTCATCGGTCATTGATGCAGGAGCACAAGCGCCTGTCTCGTCTTCTTTGCAGAGAATAATGCGCCTCGTTGTTTTGAACTCCGCTTTACTGAGCCGGTGTCTCAGAAAAAACATCTGCATTTATCCTCTGTCAGGCCACTTGACAGATTATTTGCTCTGAAAGTCTGTGTGAGACGAGCAGCCCCGTCTCCTTCCTGTCCTCCTCGGTGCCTGTCTGATGCATTTATCTGTGTTTGTCTTTGTTTGGACGTTAGTGAAAGTGAGCAGAGTGTTCCAAAATCCAGTGGCTTCTGCTTGTATATGGTGCTTTAATGTCTAATCATTGTTATACATTAAATATGTGAAATTCTTTGCCTGATGTTTTACCACAGTTATTTATTTCAGTGAAATCATCTTGCAGAGTGTTCACCTGTTTTCAGCATAACATTGGAAGCTAAGTAGAACTGCAGTCAAGAAAACCTTTCCTAAAGTTCAAACTCTGAAACCCAAGTTAAATAGAAAAGGCATTAATCAATAAACAATTGGTGCAAGGCTGATGGAAGAAGTGGGCATTGCTTCAGTTTACTGAATAGAAGGAAACATGCCATCAGTAGCAGGTGAAGTCAGGTTGTTTTCTTTAGGAAAAAGGTGGGTTTGCATTCTGTCAGGGGGGTTTGTAGCGTGAAGGTTTCCAAGGAGGCAGCAGTGCTCGTCTCTCTAATCAGTTCAATCAGTTGTAGCCAAAGCAAGTGTTAGCAGACCTGCAGGGACGTGATCGAAAGATCAATACATGAAGCTAAAGTTTGTGTCATCAAAAGTGACAGATATTGATGTTTATTTTGTTTAAGGAGTGTTTGTTCAGCTACAAAACAAATGCAAAATGTGATATTCCAATTGTCTGTATTGCTCATTTTCTGTGGATCCATGTTCGTATGTCAGAGACCTTCAGATGTCTCTCATGACAGAACCTGACACTACTCACTCCTTTTGTAAGGCTGGTTTGGACTCGTCTTTCCGCCTGTAGAGCTAAAACGTTCGAGAACTTCTGCTCTCTATGATCCCGTTCTCTGACCCTTGTCTTTGTCTCTCGTGAATCTCTCAGGGAAGTGAGCTGTTCATGACAGATGAGGAGCGTCTAGCAGCTGAGGCCCGCAGGGAGCTGGAGAGACGGGAGCTGATGCATCAAAAGAGGGTAGCACTGGAGACCAACAAAATCATTAAAGAGCAGCAGGAGAAGGAGAGACAGTGAGTGAACTGCAAGACTCTTAATTAGCCCCGTCGTGTCACAAGAGAAATCTTCTGTAGCATGACACGAGGGACATGAAGTTGACATTCAAGGTTGTCGTTTCCTCAACTTTGTGTCCTTTTTTACCTGACTACTGCGCTCTGACTTTGAAAGATGTTCTCACACAACCTGTAGATGGAAAGAAAAGAACCCTCATCAATGCCAGTTTGTTTAGACTATTCTTAACAAAGTTACATTTGAATTTCCTTAATATTTTATGCTTATCTCGTTTTATGTTGTGACAAAGCTGAGAATTGACTTGACTGTATCTGCAGCATTTAAAGTATCAAAAAGCACAAAAGCCTCAAGTAAATCTTTATTTATACAGTGCCATTTAAAACTACAGCAAAAAAATGCTTTGCATAGGATAAAAAAACGGATACAAAGCGCAATCATAAAATAAAAATAAAAGCAATGAATGAGAGATGACAACAAAGCGAATAAAATAATGCAAACCTGTTAAAGTAATATAAAAAGTAAACCTAAAAATGAAGTATTTAACAGAAAACCATCTTGAAAAGATGAAGGTTTTCCGTTTTGATTTAAAACCCACTAGAGAGCTCTCCATCCTGATATCTAGAGGGGTTTTCCAGAGTCTGGACAGAGAACACACAGTTAACTAGGAGGCAGTGATCAGACCTTAAGGAGTTAGAAGGAGGTACTTGATGTTAGAGGAGCCAGACTGTTTATTGCTTTATAGAACAAAAGGAGAGTTTAAATTGAATCCTGAATTTTACAGGAAGTCAGCATAAGGACATAAGAACAGGAGTAATATGTACGCAGAATTAGGTGTTGAGAAGTTTTGGACTAATTGAAGATGAGAAAGGGAGTCTTGGATTAAACGAGTAGAGGGAATAACCGTAGCCCATACACAAAGCATGAATTCCAGTTTCTAATTGTTGAAAAGATAACAGAGCTAGTATTTAGATTAAATTTCTCAAGTGAAAGTGGCTTTTATGAACTACAGATAACCTATTTCTCAAATTGGAGGTGCTTGTCAAAAATGACCCCTAACGTTTTGGTGGATGACTTTCAATGAACAGCAAGACAACCAAGCAACTGAAAAATGTTGTTAGGATCTTGAGTTGGGGTAAGTTTTTGCTTATTTAGTTGAAGATAATTTGATGCTTGCAGTTTCGGATGTGAGCCAAACAATTGTAAACAACAAACATCTGTACTATCATCAGGCTTAATGGACAGGTACATTTGAGTATCGTCAGCATAGCAATGATAAAACACACAACTGAATCCTTCTATCTACTGGCCCCTGGGGTGCAGATAAAAAGAAAATAAAACAGGTCCAAGAACAGATCCCTGCGACACCCCACAAGTTAGAGGGGCCAAAGAGGAAGCACCAATATCAGTCACAACAAAGGACTTTGTTTGAAAAATAAGAAATAAACCACTTTAGAGCTATATTTGAAATCAAAACTCATCTTAAACAGTCAATCGACAAGAACAGCGTGATCAATTGTGTCAAAGACTGCAAACAAATCTAAGAAAATCAAAATAGAAATGTCTCCATTATCAAATTTAAGCAGATTTGTAACGACAACAAAAATTGGGGGAAAAAAAATGCTTTTTTTTTTTTTGGTTAATCTTATGGTGACTTAAAAATGGGTAAATAAGGTAATTAACCAGTATTCACTCAGATTAATACAAAAATAACTTGCCAACTTAAAATAACATTATGAACAAAGACAGCACTACAGACTTCCCTTCAGTGTAACACTTCACAGTTTATGACTGAGCCCTTACATCAGCTCAAACATAGCTTCACTGAATAATTTACAGGTTTCAGTTGTGTCATGTCAGCCATATTTGCTGATGAATTGTATCACTTTGTGTCCCATGCTGCAGGGTGACAATCTTTCACAGGTTTAATAGCAGCTATAAAGTGAATTAAAGTGATATATTCTACATTTGGTGCCTTGTTGTGCTCAGAGAGATTCATGCTGAGACCTGTGTGTTCATGATGTATTTTACAGGAGAAAGATGGAGTCCTCGCAGAAATTTGCAGAAGAAGAGGAGCGATATAAAAAAGAGATGGAAAAGTACGCTTTTTAAATACATATTATTGGATATAAATGGCCGTCTCTGTATTAATTTCTAACATATTTGTCACTCCTGTAGGATTGAGGCTGTGGAGAAGAAACACACCAGAGACTGGGAGGAGGACTGGGGATCCAAAGACCGACCAAAGAGCCCCCGGTCTATGAAAAATCCTGCACCTGCCCCGCCTGAGATGAAAACCACCCCAGCTCCTAAAGCAAAAAGTTCACGTATGCACCCACACACGAGTGAATCTTTTTGAATCCTGCCTGTTTCAGAACCTGTTTCTCTTCTAAACCCATAAAGACACTTGTGTTGTTCTTTATCTGCATGCTCTGCGTTTGTCTTCCTGTTTCTGCTGGTTGCTGTGCCGTCTTTTACTACTTCTCTAAGTCGATGAAGCCAGCTTCTTCCCCGAAGAGGAGGAAGAAGATGAGCAGCTCAGTCAAGTGAGTTTGGAGTTTCAGCTGTCATCGCTGCAGCTGTTGACACGAGGATGTCTGTGCAAAACAACACCTCAAAGACAAGCGGTAGATTTCCTTTGACAACAATAACGAGGCCACGGGAGCAGACGTTAAACTTTTTGTGGGTGGATAAAAGCCTTTGACAGATACGAGATTCCAGCTCATGACTTATTGCATCATTTTGCATCTTCAGTTTTGAGTGTTTTGTTGCTGTTTCTAAAGTGCCTGAATGGAAACAGCTCTGTTGTCATTTCTATTCAAGAGCTGTTTTGTGCATTTTAGAAAAGGGTTGTAGTGAGTTTGCTTTGATTTTGATTGATTTGATGCATAAAAGATATCTGTGTTCATCTCCATCTTTAGCATTTGGCTGGTTTTACCGATATGAGGGGAAACTGCCGTCACTACGGAAGGTACTCTCAGCTGTTTGTGTGGTCTTTAAATCACGTCTTTCATCTTCTTGGAGAAAATAATGGTCATAGTAACAACAATATGAGGCAGTGTTTGCATATTGTGACTTTTTTAAATTATCACGGCACAGTTAAGAGTTTTTGCATGACATTCGGTGCTGTTTTGATTGGCAGTTTGTTCGTCTTTTAAGTTTTACTTGTACTGATTGGTGGCACCTCAGAAAGGAGAAAAGAAGAAGAAAAAGAAGAAAGTGTCTAACACAGACACGCTGCAGGAGCAGAGGAAAAACAAAAAGGAGATGGAGTTTGAGCTGAAACTTGCCAAAGAGAAAGAAGAGATGTACGAACGGGAGAAGCAGCTGAAAATCAACCGTCTGGTTCAGGAGGTATGAAAGATGGAAATGTCAAACAGCTTCACAGAGGATCCAAACGCGCGCTGCGTTTATTCAAAATCTATCACAGGGAGTGTGTTTTCAAGAAAAAGCCTTGCAGTACTGATCATGTGATATCTGACTGCTGTGGTTTTATGGGCCTCCACATCAGGTTTCAGAGACGGAGAGGGAAGACCTGGAGGAGTCTGAGAAGGTGCAGCACTGGGTGGAGCGTCTGTGTCAGACTCGGTTGGAGCAGATCTCGTGTGTGGAGAATGAAACTCCAGAGGTACAAAGTCAGACCTCTTTCAGGAGAATGTCTCCACACACCAACCACCTCAGCAGCTTGTTACTTCTAACATCACAGCTGCCCCTGAAAATGATCAAACGCTTGATTTTTAAAATATACTTTAGATGCATTTACTAATACTGCTGGGACTGAAATAAATCATAGGAAAAAATATACTTAAGGTCCCACACATTTATGTTCTACTTGCTAATAATATATATATATATATATGATATATGAGAAGAGAGGAAACTATGAGTTTATTGCAGTTAATATCTCACATTGCAAGTTTTTCTAATACTGTGCATCCTTTATATCCAGTACAGTAGTCCCTCGTTTATTGTGGGGGTTACATTATGCCCCCCGCTCCCCTGCAATAAGTGAATATCCGTGAAGTAGAGACGACATAGATTTCCGAATTGAAAGAACAAATCAAAGCAGTTCAGTTAACTAATAAATTAAAATCAACCAAACTAAAGCATAAGTTTATTTAGCACAAGTTTATTAATGAAGATAACTTGATGTTTATTCAAAGTTTAAGTTGAGTGAGTAGTAATGCCTTTTTACTCACCAACTCTGCAGCTCGGTTCCGGTTGGGCAGACCTACCCAGCCTTGGTCCAGTTCTGATCAGCTCTCTGAATCCACTGAGTGCTGAAGTCACTATGAATACTGTAAGGACCGAACTTTTTCCGATCGGATCAAAACTTTCACTCCTTTTCAGCAGAAAGCAACTTTGCCTTCTGTTTAATGTAGTCCTTTAGACTGGTGATACAGTGTAGGTTTATTGAGAGAAAACTACAAAATGGCGTTGCATATAAAAAACAATTGTCGTGCACAGCCTTACAGTGCTGTACTTTGAACAGCCACGAAAGAGCGAGTCCGCAAAAGTCGAACCGCGAAGTAGCGAGGGACTACTGTAGTTTATTTTTACCCACTGGCATTAAGTAAAAATAAAAAAAAACACATTTTTCCATCTTGCATCACAAGATAAATAGTAATCAGGAAAGTATGTTCAAGTATAAATTATGAAATAATTTCATAAATATTGTTAATATGAGCGGTGGAATGTTTCTGGTTTGTGGTTTAAAGCTCTCCCCGCCGCTCTCTCCTGCCTCTGAGCCGAAGGTGAAGTGTTTTCCCGGCGGGCTCCACCTGGCCACCACCGACCTGGACGACATAAACCTGGACGAGGTGGATCAGAGCCTGAGGGGCCCTCTTAAAAAACTGTCCCCCACTCAGCCCGCCACTAACCAACCCCCTCCGCCCTTGCCTCCCCCTCCACCCTCGCCAAGGCTGAACCCAACCATTCCCAATTATTCCCCGCCTTCATCTCGAGTTTCTCCACAGCGCCGGCCTCCCTCCCCACCTGTTTCCAGGAAGCCTCCCCCTGCCTCATCTGCTCAGACAAACAAGGGGCATAGGCGTAACCCACAAGCTCCCCGCTCGCCTTCTTCCCAGTACCCCGCACCCTCTCGCTCCTCGCGTCCGCCATCCTCCCCTCAGCCTGCCCCCCACCCCACTCCTCCGCCGCCACCTCCTCCACCACCTCCGCCGCCGCCTCCTCCGCCACCTCCCCCACAGCACTCTGAAGAACGCTCCCTCGGTGGTTACCGCCAGCATCATCATCACCTCCAGCGTCCTCCCAGTCCTACCGACACCAGCAGGAGCGAGTGGGAGGCAGGCGGGTACCTCCCCAGGGGAGGGATTTATTCCGCCAACACCAGTGAAATGTCGTACCCCTCCAGCCCCAAGGTTTGAGCACCACACGTGTGAAGAGTGACGAGTGATGCTCACCCTTTCATCTTTAGAAATTATTTTTCCTTCTGCATGGTGTTGATATATTTATTGCCCACCACTAAAAAGCTGTCTGTTAGTAAAATATCTCATGAACCACGGGATTAATTTTAATGAACGCAGTCACTGGATGAAAAACTACAACTGATTACCTTTTTAGTAGCCGAGTATAGCATTATTTTCAAGATTTTGCCAAAACTCCTCCAACTTCATAAGAGGATTGAGTAAAAAAAAAAAAAAAAAAAAGGCGGTGGGC